ATATATATATATATATATATATACACACATACACACCTTACTTCCTGCTGTCCACGTGCCGAACACTGTTATTATCGCCAAACAAAGTCTGCTCAGAAACAGACACTTCAGGAGTATCATATGTCTGGTCCCCCACTGCGCTTCCTTCATCTGACCTCCACATCACTACTGTATCTTGTGGGCAGCTGGGGACCAGGCCTATGACCGTCAGTTTCTGAACAGACACTGAACTGCATCAGAGGAGCATTTGGTGGCATAGACAGTGGCAGTGAAAAAATATAATGAGAAAAAAAAAACTTACCTGATCACAGGTTTGTGAAGTTTTAGAAGCAGATAGCGGATTGTAGTTGCCTGTACTGTCAATCATAAGTGTCCTACACAATGCAAATACATTTTTATGTGCTTTAATCAAGAAACGCAGTCACAACATTTACCTAGTTTTCCACAGAATCTCTATGCTTTTTATGACCAAAAATACATTATATTTCATTGTGCATCATTCATGACACTGGGGAACAAATTTAATCTTTTTTTCTGTTGGATGAGATTTTTCAACTGATTCTAAGTAATTTTTCAACGTTGATTTCAAATATGAAATCAGTTTTACTCTACATGCTCTAGTTTTCCTGCAATTTGAAACTTTTGCTATTTACATTAGAGAGATAGCTTGGGAACTAGGCTTACATCTACCCTACCCTTAGACTAATTAGGCTATTTTTATCAATATTCTTTATCTTTTTTGTTAATTTTGGATTATAGAGATTTATCTGATTTACACAAAGAGGAAGATGAATGACAAAGAGAAGGCAGCATGGCTGTCTTTTGTGTCACTTATAGAAAACTTTCTTGGTAACAAAAAGGCAGAACATTTTAAGGTTCTTGTTACTAGAATGCTGTTGGCCATTTGAATTCAGCACAAGATAAGAACAAGTGCCGGTATCAATGCAACAAAGAAAATGTTCCCAAGTGTTATTCATAGATCATTATTATAGTTCCAGAAAAATTGTATCTTTAAATATTAGAAATTTTGCAGCATATAGTTTCAATCCTATAGTAATTTACATCAAGCATTTATGACAGTAAGGCACACAAACCCATTTTATATTGCCGTTTTATTTTTAGTAAATGTAAACTGAACTTACTGGTTTGATTGAAAAGGTTCTATTTGTTCATAAGAATGGGATGTTCCAACCTAGAAAATACACATATTCATATAAAGTATGTTGTTAACATTAGAATGCTGTCTAGCAAAATACAGCTAAAAAATACAAATTTTCAGCTTTAGATCTCACAAGAAAAGAAAAAATAGGAGGGAACGGACTAAAAACTACAGGCATGTTTAAACGCAATTCTTCCCGATTCTCTAGCTGTAGCTTTCTAGGAGATACATGTTTACATTATGGGATATCCTTTAAGAGAGAACAATGGGGTAAGTGTTTTCTCCCATAGTTCTCTTAAGGGTCACGGGAGGAGATATACTAGCGTCCTCACGTGACCCAAACCACAGTATACCGCGAGCCGCAGCTGAGACCGCCGCAGCCGGGACGGATCCCGACAATGCTGTCGAGATCCACCCAGCTGCGTGAATAACAGCTGGCTCCCTATCTAGAGGCAGAGCCAGCTGTGCTCGCCCCTTCCCCCGGTCGTTCCTCCAGTCAGCGATGGTGGATCAGAGCAGGGAGGGGGGGAATCCCTGCAGGGAGCCGTGACTTACAGCCACGGCTCTCTGCAGGGAGATGATCGAGAAGTGAGCGAGCGCTGGTATGTGTTCGCTCACTTCCCGATCTATTGAGCTGACGTGCGATAGTTTCATTGTCACACGTCGGCTCGAACTATGAGGATGGGTGATTTTCACTCACCTCATAGTTCTCCTTTACTATTAAACAACTAGTAAACTGCCAAATGAGATTTGTGGCATATGTTATTTCTTGTACGGAATGTTGTAAACAATATGTTGGTAAGACAACAAGATGTTTGTGCAATTGTATGAGAGATCATTTGTCTAATATCAGAACAAAGAAAAATACTAATATAGCTAAACATTTGTGAGAGCATCATAGAGGGGATACTAAAAAGTATGAAAATTCAGATTATGGAGAAGATAAGACAGCCCATCTAGGAGGATATTGGATATTTAAACTAGATACCCACATCCCCAAGAGGTTAAATTTAGCGTGGGATGTTACACATTGTTATGAGTAATTCTTATGAGCAACCTATTCTTGTGTAACTTATCCCCAACCATTTCTATGTGTCTTTTTTTATTACATATCATTAGATAGATTTTAGAGATTTTATGAAGCAATGAAACATAAAAACAAGATAGGAGATATATAATAAATAAAAAAGAATAACAAAATAGATGAACAGGAGTGATTGTCCACTTAACTTGGATATAAGAAAAAAGAAACTCTTTTGATCACGCTGTATGCCAAAAATATATAGTTATATGTAAAGATATAATGCAGAAGATGAAAAATTAATCTAGCTAGAATACAGATTACAGAAAGAAAAAAAAAACAACAAAAAAACACTTTAACCCGGCTTGTCCGCAGTAGGGCTAAATCGAGAGAAGAAACCACCTTTCTAGGCGCCGGGAACTGCAAGTCCCGGACGTCGGACGATACGAATTGTGCACCCCTGGATTATCTTGCTTAGCGTATGAGTAAGAATGATGGGTGAAACGCGTTACAGGTTGATGGTTTATCTGGGAGGAATGGACAGTGGACAGTGGAACTTTTGTTCTTTGAAGATTTTATCTGTGGTGATCATGTAGAGTGCGGTATTTGTTTGAAATCTTGTAAATTGGGGCAGAGGCACTCTCACTACCTGCAACTGGGACACAATCGAGGGGAGCCAGGTTGAGAATGAGAACGGTGCTTTGCCCGTCTTTGATCATACAAAATGTCAGTGAAATAGGCTGACTGTGCTACACAAATAACACACAAACCACTGCGGAGAAGAACACTCGTACATCAATACACGATGCTCGAAAAAAAAATATGAGCAAAAGAGAAAAAACACAGCCAAACAAGCGCTCGTTTTGTATAGGGAGCTAAAATAACAGATTCCTACTCACACAAACCACGATCCCGGCTGGCTTTTGGACCAGTCCCTTCAGCCTCTCCCCCATCTCATCCAGCGGTCTAAGGTCCAGTGAATAATCATTTCCAAAACAGTGTATTGAACGTGAGGACACTGAGAGACATGCCATCGCTGGAGCGCAGGAGAAGACAGGCTGTACGGACCAGTCTAGGAGCCAGCCGGAATCGTGGTTCTGGTGGGTATTACTCTGTTATTTTAGCTCCCTAGGCAAAATCAGTACCTAACCCTGGCAGTGAGGGGGTAGCACCACTGCTAGGGTTATGATTTTATTTGCCGGAATTCTTCTTTAAAGAGAGTCAGGCATGTCTGGTCTTTACATTAGGCTCAATTCACAAAGCTTTAACTTTTCAACCATGGGACTGTCATTTTTAAATCTCATTGGTCTTATCTAAAAATAACCCACTTTTTAAAAAAATACAGAGCCTTACCTTGGTATGTTGCCTTTGTGAATTGAGCCAACTGTCTTCTAGCTTATTCTAACCATATCAAACACAGAACACTGTTGCAGTTTATATTTCTTTTTAATTACAGTGCTCTCTTATGTGATAATGTTCTGCACATAATGTGGACATCCAGTATTATCAGCAGGAGATCTTGCAGAGATTAGAGCAGTAAATGTCAGGTTCTATAGTGATCTTCAAACAAACACAAAAATAAATGTATATATACATATGCATACATACATACATACATACATACATACATACATACATACACACATACACACATACACATACACAGACACACATACACAGACACACACTATACTCACAGTTTCAAACGGTGGTTGAGCTGGCCGTAACTGTACAACCTCTTTCCACAAGGCCTCATTTTCCCTGTTTTAAAAGGAAAAAATAATATCATATACAATCCCTAAAATTCTTACAACAATGCACCGCGCTCTTAACAATATATCAAACAAAAAGTATGTCGAAATGCTGAAAACAAATATAATCAACCTCCAATAAATAATTTAAATCCAAAGTGATAAAGTTCACAGTGTAAGTCTCTTATGAGACTTGATAAGTGTCCAATAAATCTAACAGTACATAAGTGTTTATATACGGTACATCAATATCAAACACTGCTCAAATGCAGATCAATGTTCATATAAGTCTGTATGATATACTGCGATTTGGGAACTAATGCCTCTAAGAAAATCACGGAGTATCTTCCCTTCAATGATCGATCTCCTCCAATATATAATGAGAGAGTAGAAACACTCCTCCTGGGTTCACTGCATCCAGGAGGATTAAACATAGAATTAGATTTGAAGTGTTTTCTTACTAATGATTAGCATGTGTAAGATTAGTAAGTGTTTTCATACTAATGATTGATATTTTAATAGTCTTTTGGATTTTATTGGTATTTGTGCGTTGATAATCTTAATTAATGTATTTGCTAATAAGTTAATGTACTTATTACTGGGACTCTTGGGTAAAAATATTTGTATACAAAGGGGTGTTGGTTTTAATTTCATGTCTTTATGACATGATTTGATACTATGTTAATTGATTCATAATTTATTCATGGTGACATGTATGGTGCGTGCCTTGTTCCTTTCGTCTGAGGCTAGTTTTATGGTGGACGCTCGATCAGCCTGCTGATGATTTTATACTTACTTGTAAGTTACTACATTTTAATATTTTATCTCGATATACTACACTATTGTATCCCTTTGTGGGGTGGATCGTTTTATCGAGTGGGGGAGCTCCTTGGATTTCATTTGGTGTTTGAGGGGAGAGATGATTACCGACATCTAAAGTGACAGCTGGAGGATTGGTATTGAAGGAGAGCACGCTCACAAATGCGCAGTATGACCATTTGAATGCATGGTCAGAAACTTCTGGTCAGTGTTTCTACTCTCTCGTTATATATTGGAGGAGATCGATCATTGAAGGAAGATACTCCGTGATTTTCTTAGAGGCATTAGTTCCCAAATCGCAGTATATCATACAGACTTATATGAACATTAATCTGCATTTGAGCACTGTTTGATATTGATGTATATAAACACTTATGTACTGTTAGATTTATTGGACACTTATCAAGTCTCATAAGAGACTTACACTGTGAACTTTATCACTTTGGATTTAAATTATTTATTGGAGGTTGATTATATTTGTTTTCAGCATTTCGACATACTTTTTGTTTGATATATTGTTAAGAGGTTCAGCGCGGTGCATTGTTTTAAGAATTTCACACTACATAGTTGGCACGGCAGCAGACTTTATATAGTTAATATTAACACTTAGCTTATTGGCATCCATTTAGCGCAGATTAGCTGTTGTAAAAAACAATCCCTAAAATGCTTTGCCTTTAAAAAAATATGCAAAACATTCCAAAAGCTAAGAACATACACATCTTTTCAAGGTCAATCAGGAAATCTGCGGATGTCTACTTGATTTTTTTGTACTGTAAATTCCAATACCCTACAACACCTATGCTGCTCTACAAGAAGTATCATGTACCTCTTTAAGGATTCCACAGTTGAATCAAGTACATCTTGTCTTGCTTGCAGCTGATGCAGAAAAGTCAGTATTTTCTGCATGTCATCTGGTCCCGATTTACCTTCTTCAATGCGGGGAACAGATACCTGAATAAAAGGATTTCCAAGATGCTTAAAATTAACCAGAAAAAAAACACATTTAACTTTAGCCAGCATCACTGCTTGCAAAACTGTCATTTAGATATGCATGCTTTTATATATATATAAAAAAAAAAAGAATAATTAGCATATGGAGACAATATTACCATTGATTTGACTAGCTGCCTAACACTTTGGTAACTCTGACTAACAAGGATGCATTTCTTGTTGCAGTCACCTCTGCAAAACAAGTGTCTGGGCTGGTGGATTTACCCTCTCTGGTCTTACAAAAGGACAGATGGTGTTCATGCCCAGAGCTTCCTTCCTACACAAGGTAATTTCGGTCACTCATCTCATCCAGGACATTTTTCTTCCCTCCCTCTATACAGGTCCAATTGATCATAAGGAGACCTCCCTCCACTGCCTGGAAGTTGTTTGCACTATGAAAGTTTCTCTCTCAGCCACTGCTTCCTTCAGAAAGATTGACTTTCTCTTCCTCATGGTTCCCATAGGTGTGAGGCAGCTTCTTATTTCACCATTTTTCAACAGACCATTATTCAGCCTTATGGTCTCAAGGATCAGGTGCCACCCTTTCCTATCAAAACACACTGTAGTAGATCTGCAAGTGCCAGCTTCAGATGCAAGGTCCTTCAAGCGGCAGAGTAGTAGAGGTTATCCTGGGCTTCCATTTCTTTTTTGTTTGCAAGTGTCTAATCTTGTTGTAGGCAGCAGAATCATTCAGAAGTATCTGAAGTCCTGTCTCTCTTAATGGACTCCAAGAAAAGGTTTTACTCCTTTGTCAGGTTTTTATTGCTGTCTCTACCATCACTGTGAAGATCCTCTCACTTTGTGTTTAGCCACCAGTGAGATGAAATCCTCCAAGGATGGCACAGAACGCAATAAGAACATGACAGAAATCTGGAGTTGGACTTAAAATTAAAAAAAAAAACTATTATAACCTGTTAAGTATAAAATACATATTTGCCAATATAGCAGCTAATAATAAAACAAACCAAAACAATTTAAATGAAACATTCAAAGTTTAGGTAGTGAAATTAGTCAAAGGGTTATTGTCAAGTTAACTGGCTCATACTGACACTGCTACACTTCCTCTGGACATCTAGGTTTCAATGACCTCTGCTCATAAAAGGGTTACAAAATGAGATTTTAAGGTGTTTTTTTTTAATCTGGTCATGGTTTTTGACTCCATTTGGTAACAGAAACCGCCCCTACTCCTTTTGGTAACACTGAGTTCCCTATCCCCAAATCCACTTGTTACCTTGAAATTGCCCAATGTGTTCTTAAATAAATATAAATTGATCCTTGCAGTGTACCCGCCCCAGAACTTTAACTGTTTTGTCTAGGATGGACTAGAAGGCAGTTATATTTACCTTATTCTTCGCTCTAGGCTTCCATTGTTTTAGAAATGTTGCCAGCTTCCTGCCTCAGTGACCAAAAGGAAGGGAGTTAAAATTTTCCAATGGGTAAAGAATAATGAAAACCTGAATGGGGTTGCAACCCTTCCCCACTCTGTCCACAAAGAAAAAATAGTTTGGCTGCCGTGAGTTATATTTTTTCTGGATTCACTTTTACATCCCCAGCCAATTGTTAGTCCCTGTTCACACCTAGGCATTTTGACGTTCAAAGCTAGGAACGACAAAATTCTCAACACAAGAAATCCCATTCATTTCAACGGCCCCTGTTTACACCTGAAAGTTTTGTCGCAAGCTGTAAAATGCCGAACACTGGAAAAAGTGCATGTGTGGGGTATAAAAGACAGCTCAGCTGGCAGGTTTGTTTCCCCAAGCAAATCCATGTGATCACTATGGCTGTCATAGTGATCACATGATCTGGATCCAATCAGAGTGGTTATATGTCATTACTCAGAAATCAGTGAAAGTCTAGGAACTAGGAGACCAAACTGCTGAGGGCTCCCAGTTGCAAAAGGACACGTAAATTAACATTCTCCCAGTCCGGAGCATCGTGTTGGAGAACGTATATTCCCGTGTAAACCCATCCAGATGAAGATTCTGTCCATGGTGATATGCCATTTCAGAACTAAATTACAATACTTTCCTTGGGAATAATTTGTAGATCTTGCACCTAACATCTAGACTTAAACATACCGTACCTGAAATTTGTAATAAACAAACAGGCAAACAAACCTTAGCCTTCCGGAATACACGCTTATCTCCAGTACTTGACGTTACCTTCCGTTTTATCTTTGCCAGTAACTCTTCTTGGCCACGCTTGAAAAAAGGATGTTGGTATCTGCCTGAGCAGTATTTATCATGCCTAGCTGCGCCAGACTCATCCTGCATAACTTTATGAAAGCCATCTGCAAAAATAGAGAGGATACATTTACTGACACACACACAGTGAAAGATTATGATATATATGTACATAGACAACCAAGTGCTGCATTGCTTATCAGTAATTTTTCAAAGGCCACTTTAAAGTAAGATTTAAAGACTGATAATTATCAGTTACTGACCATCTCAAATACAGATCTTGCATGAATTTCATTATCTTGATTTACTAGTATATAAATCAGACTGGCTTTAAAAACATTTCAAAAGATTTTATATCTGTCAATTCCAGCCAACACACATTACTCTTTCTTTGTGCATTGAAAAACTATTTGTCCCGGTATTCCTCTCACCTACCCATTGATATGGGATGACAAGTCTCTTAATTCAGTCATTTTTGACAGTTCAGGTGACAATTATGTCAATAGATCCTTCACCTCTCCACTGACGTAAACTTGCTAGTTCAGCGGGCAAAAATCTCTAGAATTTCTAAAAGCTTTCCCACCCCTTCCTGCCTCCAGAACATTACTATTGCCCAGTGAAGCTGCCCATTATAACAATGGACCAATAATAATACAATGAACTGGGCCTTAGCAGCAAGCTCAAACATTACCCAGAATTGTCAGAGCTTTGCTTATCAGAACTTCCTGACATTTAGCAGTAACTGAAAGATTTAAGAGCCGGTTGCAGATATATGAATGCTTCAGTTATTGAAATCATAGTTACATAGTAGATAAGGTTGGAAAAAGACACAGGTCCATCCAGCCCAACCTGTGTGTGTGTGCAAAGGTGTGTCAGTTTGAGCCATCTAGGAATATACAGTACATACACCTATATGCTGTACCCAGTGAGGAAGGCATCTAGAAGTTTGTTGAAGCTGTCAACACTACCAACTAATATGACTACTCTTTCCAGTTCTTAGTCCGTTTAGATTGGTGGGCAGAACGGTCCTGCAAGCTCAAGATGAGGCAAAACCAGTGGCTCGTAAAAGGTCAAAAATATTGATCTATCCTGTCAAATAAATATCCTTTTTAATACATGAGAGTATTGTGCTTACTTTGTTAGCTGTGGCCTGGCATTGCATGCTATTGCCAAGTCTGTGATCTACAAGGACCCCCAAATCTTTTTCCAGCACTGATTTTCCCGGTTTACCGTCTCCTAATGAGTATTTTGTATGGAGGCTTTTGGCCAGGTACATAACTTTAAATTTTTCAGTTTTTAATCTCATCTGCCAATCTCCCTATTTTAACAAGCTATCCCTGTAATGTCCTGTGCCGAAATGCTTTTCTTGCATAATTTGGATTCATCAGCAAATACTAAATTTGAACTCCTAATTCCAACCCCAATGTCTTGGTAATTACATTAAACAGCATTGGTCCCAAGAGAGGACACTGGGCACATCCCTCACACCAGAAGCAGAGAGTACACAGACTGGAAGCATTGAACAGGACCACTAAGTTCCCTCCACAGTTTTTAGCATTCATAACTCAAAGTACAAAATGGAGGTAATCTGAATTAAAGTGACACTAAAAACTCAGGAGTTAAGGAGTGCCGACACTGTCCTTCCTTCTGGAGGGTGGCTACATTGTTCCCCATGGTCTCTGTATATTGTAAAGTAGCCACCACTCTGAGCTCACTGCCGTGACGGGCTACAATCTCATGTTTAGTTTACTAATTTGTATTGAGATTGTAGTCCATCACGGGAGCGAGCTTGGAGCAGTTGCTACTTTACAACACACACAGGGACCATGGGGTACAAAAGTAACCCCCCTCCAGAAGGAAATACAGTGTCAGCACCTAATCAAAAGGCAATTTGAGCTTCTACAACTGAGAAAACAGACACAAAAAAGTAGTTCTTAAAGTGAACCTGTCATAACAGAAATCTGGGACTGCTACTGCTGACCTTCAAAAAATGAAAGTTGCTTGGCTGACCACATCATTTTCTAACTTGAAGAATAAATATAGTATATTTCTGGTGTGTAAATGTTTTGCTAGTAATTGTCTATGTTACAATCACATTTCTACATGCTTGCTCTTTGAAATCATTTGTTATTGCATTAAATATAATGATATTTAAATTAGTCACTAAAGGGAGCTCTCAGTGGCTCAATGGACCCTGCCTGACATCGTTTGCACCTATTATACCAGCAATTGCACCTACCGCACTTAGAAAACAGGCCAAGTCACACTCACGACATTTGGTTATATGTACAGTAAGGGTTTACAAACTCAAATCAGATCTTTAAAGTGACACTAAACTTAGAAGTCAAATCTTAAGAATGCATTCAAGTACCGTATCTATTAACAAAAATGTACCGTATATACTCGAGTATAAGCCGTCCCGAATATAAGCCGAGGTACCTAATTTTACCAAAAAAACCTGGGAAAAAGTATTGACCCATGGTATCTCATTTGTGTATCACTCAGCTGTAGATCCTGAAATCATCTCTGAATTGGTGCCGACACTGTCCTTCCTTCTGGAGGGTGATTACTTTTGTTCCCCATGGTCCCTGTGTGTGTTGTAAAGTAGACACTTCTTAAAACTCGCTTCCGTGATGGACTACAATCTAATTTTTTGTTTACTAATTTGTATCAAGATTGTAGTCTAATACAGGAGCGAGCAAGGTTGGAGCAGTGGCTACTTCACAACACACAAAGGGACCATGGGGAACACAAGTAGCCACCCTCCAGAAAGGACAGTGTCAGCAGCAATTCAGAAATGATTTGAGGATCTACATCCGAGTGATACACAAATAAGATAGTTATTTAAATGCATTTTTAAAATTTAACACCCGAGTTTCGTGTCACTTTAAGAACTTATGGTTTGATAATCAATCTCTCAAAAAAGCACATTTTCCATTTAAATTGCAATTCTACTAAATAATCATTCTAAAATCTATCATTAAATGAATTCTTCTAATGAAACAAATTATTCTAATTAATTCTTCTAATTAACTAGTTTATTTCCAATCATCTTACAAACAGTTTGACCAGACATTTGTAGAAATATGATATTCTGTTAATAAAAACAAGCATAGCACAAATACATGCCGTTGAAAGAACCAAAGTACACAAAAGCATCTGCAGTTTTATTAGTTTTAAAAACAAAGGCATGCTGGTAGAAGGCTGGAACATTTCTGTTGTGAAACTGATACAATAGCTGAATGATCCAGGCAGAGTTACTACCAGAAAACAAAAGTGAGGATAAATAAACTGGGAATATGAATACAAAAGTTAAAAAGGTGCTTCTCTGTAAATGTTCACACTGCTCCAGGTCATGATTGAAGATGTTTTCTACTTATCTAAGCTATTAATCCACGTTCTAATGAGTGTATCCTATCACTATGGAAGGTGTCAAGTAAATATAAATTGACTGTCATTTAGGACCTACAACACCATGAAGTTTCCAGATGCTTTTGTTTGAACATGTCCTTGTATAGTCACTTTAAAAGGTGTTTCTGAAATCCGAGGTGTGATCAAAGATTACGGTGAATGCTGCTGCCGAGTGCCATCCAAAAGGCAGGGATCTTCAATATGCAGAGCGACAGATCAAACCTAAGGGGGTTATTCACTAAAGAGCCGAAGGATCCAGCCACAGCTTCGGCTGATCTTCTGCCCTTCGGTTCAGTCGTACTGAAGGGCTGCTGTACGGGCTATTCACAATAGCCCATACAGCAGCTGAAGCAGGGAGAAGGGCAGGCCATTCTCCGCGCAAATGACAGCTGGGCGGAGCCAACTGTGATCTCACAGCTGGCTCCGCCCAGTTGTAATGAAAGATCAGCGTCCCCAAATGACCTGGAGACACTGATCTGTCATTAAAACAACTGGGTGGAGCCGGATATGACATCACGGCTGGCTCCGCCTAGTTATTCATTGGCTGGGATCTGCTAGAAGACTCTGGCAGGTGCCGGCCAATAGGAAACAGTTGGGCGGAGCTAGCTGTCACTGCTAGCTCCGCCCAATTGTTTTATTTGTTAAATTTTCTTTCACATTTTTTTTCCCCCCTTTATCATTTTTAAAATAATTTTGCAACTTTTTTTTTTCCCACATTCTTTCCACTAATTTTCTATTCTGCTCGGAACCTCGAAGGTACCGAGCAGAATAGCAGAGCCGACTGCCGCTCGGTGAACTGCAGCAAAAGAGCTGCCAGGGCTTCGGCTCAGCTGATCCAGATGTTGGATCGGCTGAGTCGAAGTCCTTCTGCACTGCCGAACATGCTCAGCTGACTGAAGGCAGCCGATGTACGGCTGATTTTAGCTGATGTTCAGCTGAAATCAGCCGTACAAGCCAGAAGTGAATAGCCAAACAGCATTCGGCTCACTTCACTTCGGCTCAGTTATTCACTCGGCTGCTTTGTGAATAACCCTGTAAGTAACAATTTTCCACTTGTTTGGTGCAGTCAGTCGGTTGTAAGCTACGGTTGAAAGAGGTGTGTCTTAAAAGTGTGCCGTAAATCATGGATCACGAACAACACATTAACATGAAATTTTATTTCAAACTGCAATAAAAGTGCTAATGAAACACACAACATGTTAAAATTAGTTTATGGTGATGCTGCAGTGACCATGAAGACATTTACAAGTGGCTCAAGCAATTTTGTAATGGTTGTGAATCAGTTGAAGACGAGGAGAGATTGGAACGTCTTTCAACAACAAAAACCTAACCGAAAGTTGAAAGAGTAAGCAAAAGGATTTGGTCAAACAGCTGACTGACTATAAGGCAAATATCTGGAGGAACTGAACATCTCTTATGGTTCCATTCAAAGCATTTTTTTGTTTTTTTTTGTTTAGAAAAGATTTATTGACAGTACAAATGTTTTCATAAGAAAATTGTGATCTAAACATATTTAAAAAAACACAAATTCTTTCTACTACATTCCCATTATCTGCATCAATAGCTGTGAGATTCACACAACGTTCTGTATTTTGGCAGAAAAATTCTGTTTACAAAGCAAGACGGCAAATGATTTGATCCAAATGTCCATTGATAGAATATTGGTGCAGCTTTGGCAATATGTCGGTGAAGGTTCTCAGGAATCCTTGTCATGGTTTGGCTAGTAGAAGTCACATTCAGCGGGACTGGTTCTGTAACGTTGCCGACGTTTCACAGCTTATGTAAGTAGCTTCTTCAGTTCGGCAATATGTGACCCAAGCTGACTGTACACTGAATGTTGGCCAAGTTGTGCTGACTCTGGGCAGCACGTGGGCCCATTGGTGCCCCTCCATTCAACAAAATGTTTCAATCACCTTTTGTCAAGGGAGCCAGTCTGAAAACTCTTGGCTGGGCGGTGACTGCAGACAGACAATCAGCTGCATCCACTATTTGGGTATTTTGGAAACAACGCACTCGCTGTGTCAGAATACAATAGCCTGGCGGGGGATTTCCTCCCCCCACTATTTAGCATGGATGGGAAAGTCAAGGAATTTTTTGATATATGCGATTTTGTATAAATCCCTGGCAGGGTGTCAGGTTGGGAAGTATTTGCTTCTAAATATAATCAGGATAAATGATAAGTGGGCTGGACACATTTTTACATTTGTGATCTCAGCAAACATGTAATGCAGACTGTCACTTTCACTGCTCGGGGGTAAAGTGACAGGGTCTCTTTAAAAATACTCAAACTTGTAACAAGTAGCAAGCTCTACAGGCAATGACCTGAATCTACCCCTCGATTGGATATTGCTTGTGATTCTTTGACATGTATTCATGCTATCTCTGTAACGCTATGTCAAACCAATAAAATACTCAAACTCACCGCTCCATTACCACCTCCGACTGCAGATCAGTACAATCACCGCAGACTGACGTGTGCTCTCACCTCTCAAACAATTGTACCGCAATCAGCCGCACAAGACCCGTGTCCATAAAATCCAAAATGTATTGCAGTGAATTCCATAGAGGTGCTCTATGATTAAGCTCAGGTGGCGAAACGCGTGAGTGAAATTTTGATGGTGTAAACGCTGTTTTCTGGACTTTACTACATTACAACATATTTTGGATTTTATGGACACCGGTCCATTCAAAGCATTTTAACAACAGATCCGAACATGATTCTGGCAATTTCGGTCAAATAAAGGTATTACGGGGTGTCCTCATCCACTAGATCTGGCACCGTGAGACTTCTGGCTCTTCCCCAAAGTCAAAATAATCAAAGTAAATGTTTTGAATTGACACTTGAAATTGAAAAAGACACTCACGAAAGAGGACTTCCAGGACTCCTTCAGAAAGTGTCAAGAATGATGGGATAAGTGTGTCCAAAGTGAAGTGGAGTATTTTGAGGGCGATTAATGGCAGTGTATTTTACTGTAATTATTTTTTTTAAATGTAAACATTCACCATAGTTTTGATCACACATTGTATATAAAGCAAAAGTTTTGGCTCCTGGGAAATCTCCTTTTAGACAGTTGTCAATGAACAGGTGTCCCCATAGAAAGGTTCCCCTTCACTTCCTGTCTTTGCGACAACTCCAACATTTCATTGTTCCCAGCACTTTCTGTACTAGGAACAATGGAAAAAATTTGAACATTGAATCCTCCACACCTAGCAGAGACACAGACAGGAATAAAAACATAAAAATCAACTCACCAATATATACAAAATTGAAAAAAAAGAAAGTATATCAGTGGGTGTTAAAGTTATTTTAAAATATTCTATTACAATGAGCCATATTTGATCCTTGTATGGGAAGGTTTTGATTTATAGTGGTGCACAATGGTTGTGCTTTACTGTTCTTTCTCACAATGCTGTTAGTCAAATGATTCACTGAAAACAATGCTCTTGCTGTGTGGCTGATATTTCATTTCAACTGTGGTTCATCAGGGAGCTTGCAGGAGGCACACTAAAGAAAAAAATTAATTAAACACAACAACAACTACCATTGCAGTGCCTCTAGATAGGCAGAGCCAGTTTTCACTCACACAGCTGGGTGGATCCAGACAGTATTGTCGGGATCTGTCCCAGCTGCGGCGCTCTCAGTATATCGCGGGCAATAGCCTGCTATATACTGAGCTTTGGGTCACGGGAGGAGGTTAGTATATGTCCTCCTGTGACCCTAAAGGGAACTATGGGGAAAAACACTTACCCCATAGTTCTCTTTTAAGGCACTTGAATGCAGTTTTAAGATTTAACTCGGTTAAATCTTAAAAATGTAGTGTCACTTTAAGTAAACCTAATGAAAAGCATAAAAGTAGAGGAAGCTTTAACATTTTAGGATATAGATTACATAAGTCACCATGATTTGGTAAATATATATATTTATTGCGTGGGTCTGTACTTACACCAGTTGAGTTGTCGTACAAAACTTGCCATGTTGTTATGTTTGAAATGTCTGGGCAATATTTCTTTTGCAAAACTTTCTTCGTCCAACACAATAAAACTGTTTCCATCCTGTAGACATAAACATATGATGTGTTAAATATATTATGGACACCTTGTCCCTCATGTCATCACATACAAATATCAGGTGAATATGACATTGACTGAATATACATGGAATATTGGGATGTAAAAACTGACAACGTGAATTGTATTGGTGGTAAGGTACAACATGCACATTTCATTTCATTATCCCAAATGAAACATTTGCTGTACCAGGTGAAGTGGTCTCTGGTTGGGCCCTGGGACACCTGATGGACCCCAATAAGTCTCCCACACCATCCCCTCAGTGGATAGCGCTTCCGGTTTGCAGCACTGGTATCCTTGGTTCAAATCCTGCCCAGGACAATATCTACATGGAATTTGCCTGTTCTCCTTGTGCTTGCGTGGGTTCCCCCGGGTACTCCAGTTTCCTCCAACACTCCAAACTGCTGGTTGGTTAATTGGCTCCTGTCTAAAAACTAGTATAATGTTCTACTGAATATGCCTAGGAAGGTTATCTCCCCATCTGCCCCAGCAACAGATAAAAGCGATTCAAGTCCCCAGGGAGACAAGTGCTGTAGAAACACAATATAAATCAATAGAATCTCTAATCTGAATGCTTGCTCAAAGACTGCTTTTACCAATCACTCCTAACCAGAATGCATTTTGTCTTACACCTCACGCTACTCGTCCTCATAATTATTACCGTATGTAGGTTTCTATTTCTCTAATCTATTGCCATTCATCTATTGCTCCCAACCTTATAGAATTGGTTTTAGGAAGACAGTTTCTCAAGGTCTCTTGGATCGATATCAACCTTTCAACCTTGTACGTGTTCAGTGTAGATATTGATTAGCTTTACATGCCTTTATTGATATAACCTCTTCTCACATGCACCTTATTTTCTATTGTTTAAAATTTATATATCTCATGTTTGATTTTACTTTGTTTCTTTTCAAAACAATTAAATAGCCTCTTCCTAAAAGAAACACTTGCTGTATCCAGTGTGAAACAAAGATACATTCTGCCATGCACAGATCATTCATTTTCTGTAGGAACACGGTTGGAAACATTTGATCTTTTGACCTTGAAATCCATTGTTCAGCATACAGTGCATAAAAGGGGTTACCCATTGTAATCTAAATAGGACCTCTGCTACAAAGAAAGGGTTCCAATCACTTTACATCCCTGGAAGCAGCATTAGGAGCCTTGTTTTGCTACCCTCCCCCCCAGGCCATTCATTCATATAAAGGTGTAAGTACATCTCCACAGGCAAGCTTGTCTGTTTTGGTCCCAGTGAAACCAGCGAAGGGGGTTGTTATGTTGTCTCAAGCGCGGAGGGTGGGTCCGCATTTAGTCAAAAGAATAAAAGAAAAATAATGCAGGCACACACCCTTATTTAAATGTTAGTCAGCAACACACATTTTTGTATTACTAAGCAATATACCGTTCATCATTTTGTAGCTTAGCATGGAGTCCAACTCCTTACAGAACCCATAGGCATGGTTGTAAAGTGGTATTTGGTACACAGCTGGATCTGCAAATTTTCCCTCTCACTGGAAGACGGGCTTTTTCCTACAGATGTCCTTCCCCCTCATGCCAATTAAACTCCAATCAATTAAACCTTGGCTAATGTATGCAGCAGCAGTTATCAGTGTTTGCTCCTCTCAAGAGGCACATGTGTAATATAAACATGGCCCCCCCATCCCTTGGGACAGCTTTATAATATAAGGTCAAGCTGTCAGGCCGGCCGTTCAAAATCGTTCATTGGAGCATTCGATCCTGCCATCATCAAGCCAACTCATTTTATTCAAAAGCCCTTAAAAAATATATTGTCCAGACCTGCTACTTGAATGGAATCCCAGATGCATGAAACCGGATTCTTTTGTGCCCAGCACATGCATATTATAACATGTACGACTTTCCCCACATTCACGGTTAAGCTGTTGTTCAGAAAAGAAACAAGAACATTTTTCCTCCTGCTCCTTTGATTTTCCTTGTCACTACAGTCGAAAACGAACATCGATTAGACCCCATAAGCATTAGAAAATTAAAGGAACGTTCTGAAACTGGTGTATGACCAGTTGTATTCTACACTGCAATAGATAAAAGCAATACAGCGAAAGCAACTCATCCTTCACACAACCAAAGAAATGCTAGTGCTGCTCTTTTGCAGTCTTTGGGCCCATTCAGATCATGAGAATTGCAGTGTCATTCATATTGAATGCCTCAATAAGCATAGCCAGCACACCTCAACACATACATGTGAGCCCTGTGTGCACTGCATAACATTGTAAACAATGGTACACAGCTGTAATAAATGTGCATTGAATTACACTGACAGCCCATTCAAAGTGAATGAATCCCTTTAAAAACAAGAAATACTTCAAGGTAATGCACTGCAACTGTCTAAGTGAGCCCAAAGCAGCTGTTTTTTTGACTTCCAATAAGTATCTTCCGATGCAATTTCATTTTCAATTCTTAAAAGTGATGCTAAACTCAGGATTTAAACCTTAAAAATGCATTCAAACTACCTTAAAGCAGACCTTTACCCCCTCTGACTAAAAATCACATCGGCATGCTCCGCTTACATTCATTAGTGAAACAAACATTTTTATTTTACTTATAATTTCTTTTTTCTACTTCCTGGTCCTCTTTGGCATTAGTGATGTAATATTCCCCAAGTGTTGCATCCTGGGAAGGCTACATCAGCAGGGCATTGCAGGGAAATCTCATCTGTAATCTCATGAGATCTCAGGGAAAGGCATTTTCCTCCCTTGAGATGATGTGCATGGTCACATGTCCTAGTCACATGTGCCAGAGTTCCAGGAAGTAAAGGGACAACTAGCAATCTGCCCTTAGTAAAAAAAAATGACCACTGTGAGAAGACTGGGGAGGAAAAGAAAAATAAAGTATGCAAAGAATAAAAAAAGTCTGCAACTATCTAGAAGTGTCTGTTTGCAAATTGTTATTGCTAAACATTTCTAAGGCCTTGTTCACACCAAATGCAGAGCAGATCCGGTCAGGTTTCTGCACACGCAGTGCAGTGGGTTGTGCCGCGTTTTTGATGCGTTCCGGGCCGCCCATGTTAAAGTTTAACATGGGCTTTCAGGCACTTGCATGCGTTTTTGATGCGTTCAAGAGCAGATAAAATAGGGCTTGCCGCAGTTTTTTCACCTGCTCTGGATCTGCACGCTGCGATGTGAACTGTAGCTCAAAATACCATAGGAATACATTGGACGCAGTTTTGATCCGGTCTGCACCTGCTCTGCTCTGGATCTGCTCCGCGCTTGGTGTTAACAAGCCCTAAAGGTGTCTTTGTTGTTATTTTGAAAACTGTATCTTATTTGTGTATCACTCGGCTGTAGATCCTCAAATTACCTCTGAATTGGCTGCTAGCTCTGTTCCGCCGACAATTTTCTGACATGGAAAGCTGGCAACACCCACGCATCAAATTTCGGCCTATTCATCAAGAACCAGACGAAATTCAAAGTGTGCGTACCCAGCTTTACTGCATGCCATCAAGTTTTCAAAAATACTGGGGGGTATATTTGTAAAGCAGTCAATGTGACTTTAACTGCATCTAAAACACATGCACTAGGAAGATCTACTCACAGTGAATGTCACTGCTTTATAAACATACCCCGTTGTATCATAAACCGGTATTTGTTTTGATAAAATATTTTTTTTCATTTTTTTCCTTCCTCAGTGCTGCTGATCTCCTCCAGCCCCCTTGCTACCAATTCCTGTCTCCAGTGCTTGCATGACTGCAAGTTCCCCGATGGTGACAACCATGGAGCATGCCTGTGGACTATGCCTTGAAGCGGCCACTTGTAGTCTCTATCGGCAGCCTGGGTGACAATGCAGAAGCACAACTGGGAGACTAAACAGAGCGTTGTCACCCCGTAAGAGGAATTGACTTTAAAAGGACCTTTATGGCCACATCACCAGGTGTTATTTTAATGAAGGGTTAAAGCATATCTCCTGAAAAAAAATCTCCACTTGCAATGGTGCTACCCCCCACCCTGAAAGGGTTAACAGCTCATTTTTGACTAGGGGTATGGTGTAAAGGACTTTTACTTACCTGGCTTCAAGACCAGCCTCTTACCCTCTGTACTCTGGCAGTGGGAGGCCCACTGACACCATCACATACAATGCAGGGCCCATTGCCCTACATTACGTGTAAGGACATATAGGGACAGTCCACGAGCAGTTTAGGAAAGACAAGAGTGCCAGTGTCAGCCGACGCCACCTGCAACTGATGAGACCGCATCACTTGAAGTGATGCGGTCCACATTTCTAACAAAGTTCAGCAATCTGTCACAGCACCGGTTGCTCGGGAAGCGGGGAAAAAGGTGTAAAAGTGCTTCACTCCTAGACCCAAATGAGCAGTTAACCTTTGCAAAACCAGGCCAGTGCCACTGCAAGGGGATGTTTTCTTTATCCCTGGAGATAGACTTTAATATACAAGGCAGGATTTAAAAAATATTGCCAATGATTCTTGAAATCTCATTATCATGGGATCACATGAGATTTCGGTGCTTGGGTTTACATCTACTTTATTAAATTCAACCCAAACAGTCCTAAAACATAAAGGGGTCCTTTATAATAATTACAGGTCACCTGACATTCTGGATTGAGCTGCATGTAATGACAGAAGAATACGATGAATTGACCTGTACTTTAATAACACAACACAAAATAGAATCGTCATGCAGATGTCATACTACTTCCAGCTACAATGAATGGCAGGGCACCGCACATCAGGAAAGGCTGCATTGTATAGGGCCCTTGTGTGCTGTGTGATCTAGCAGCATCATTAGTGAAATGACTCCCTCCCATCGTGCCCCCCTTACTTGGCTCCAGCAGATGTACTCGTTGTTTCGGGGATCTTCCACTAGAGCCCATATCTTAGTGAGGAATTTGGGGACACTGGAGCTGGCCTTCATGTTTGCTGTGCGCCAATATTTGTGATCCCTCCTCCTAAGCTTCTGTGTAGCCTGGAACTCTCTGCCTGTTATCCCCACTCATTTACATGATATCCACACACCGTCTACACAACACAGGCCGCACCCCCCCTCACGTGACTCGCAGCGTCAGGCCAGCCCTCGTCACGTGACAACCAACCAGCGTCAGTTGTGCTGTGCTGCGTTGCGTAGTCTGGAATATGATGCTTTTTTTTTCTCCATTCACAAAGTTTAATTGACAGCGATTCCAAGTGTACAGAAGAAGTTCGCTGTTACGGCGTAAAACCGACAAGACACCTATTCCTAACTTTGCTGTATTTGAGTTTGATAAGCTCACCATTGAATATACGTTCTCTTCAGGGAGCGTGTCAAGGGAAAAATTATTTGCAGGTAGGCTTTATATGATGGAGAAACCGTGTAAAGCTGGCCATACACTAGTACAATTGTTCTCAACCTGTGTAACATCAGGACCCACATTTGTCCTTGGTCAATTAATCGCAACCAAAGTTGCACAGCACTGGAACGGATGTCACAGGTATCATGTGTTCCAGTGCAGGCAATCGAAACTGTGGGTGGGAGGTGCGTTTGGGGTTGCCATTCAAATGAATAGAAACGCACCAGAGGCGGCTCTAGACTTTTTTGAGGTCTTAGGCAAAACTCAAACGTGAGGTCCCCCCACTTACACCCAAAATGAAATAAAATGCAAACAATAATTAAACATGAACTGTATACATTGCATATTTTAAGACTAGCGTTTAATCCCAGCAGCCAGGAATTTTATAGCTGCTAGAGTTAGAATTGCATTTCTGTCTCGTATCTAATTCAAATAACTATACACAAAACTCCGACCCTAAGGAAGTAACGCACAGAGTGCAGAGGTCCACAGTAAGGAACGCACAGAGTGCAGGGGTCCGAAGTAAGGAACACAGTGCAGAGGTTCAAAGTAAGGAACGCACAGAGTGCAGAGGTCCAAAGTAAGGAACCCACAGAGTGCAGAGGTCCAAAGTAAGGAACCCACAGTGCAGAGGTCAGTAATAAGTAATGCACAGAGTGCAGAGGTCCAAAGTAAGGAACACACAGTGCAGAGGTTCGAAGTAAGGAACGCACAGAGTGCAGAGGTCAGTAATAAGTAATGCACAGAGTGCAGAGGTCCGAAGTAAGGAACCCGCAGAGGTCAGTAATAAGTAATGCACAGAGTGCAGAGGTCAGATGTAAGGAACACACAGTGCAGAGGTCCGAAGTAAGGCACGTACAGAGTGCAGAGGTCCGAAGTAAGGAACGCACAGGGTGCAGAGGTCCACAGTAAAGTGCACAGGGTGCAGAGGTCCGAAGTAAGGAACGCACGTAGTGCAGAGGTCAGATATAAGTCTGCAGAGGTCCGAAGTAAGGAACACACAGAGTGCAGAGGTCTGAAGTAAGGAACGCACAGAGTGCAGAGGTCCAAAGTAAGGAACCCACAGAGTGCAGAGGTCAGTAATAAGTAATGCACAGAGTGCAGAGGTCAGATGCAAGGAACACACAGTGCAGAGGTCCGAAGTAAGGCACGTACAAAGTGCAGAGGTCCGAAGTAAGGAACGCACAGGGTGCATAGGTCCGCAGTAAAGCGCACAGGGTGCAGAGTTCCGAAGTAAGGAATGCACAGAGTGCAGAGGTCCGATGTAAGTAACGCACGTAGTGCAGAGGTCAGATATAAGTCTGCAGAGGTCCAAAGTAAGGAACCCACAGAGTTCAGAGGTCCAAAGTAAGGAACCCACAGAGTTCAGAGGTCCAAAGTAAGGAACCCACAGAGTGCAGAGGTCCGAAGTAAGGAACGCACAGAGTGCAGAGGTCCGATGTAAGTAACGCACAAAGTGCCGAGGTCAGAAGTAAGTAACGCACAGAGTGCAGAAGTAAGGAACGCAAAGAGTGCCGAGGCCAGAAGTAAGGAACACACAGAGTACAGAGGTCAGAAAGAAACACACAGTACAGTAGTAAAGAATGCAATAAGTCCTGGTTTCCTATCACACAGCATGGGGTGGTATGGCATGGGTTATATGTGACAGCAGTCTGGCATTTATAAGCATCTGCTCACTGGTATTGGGCAGCTGGATTTTTTACATTGAACATTTTTAGGAGCAGATGTGAACAATGAGGGCCCAGTCACACTATAAAGAGTGCGTTTGGCCTCTGGAACACAACCCGGCCAGCTCACATTGTTTTGGGATGGGAGGGGACGTGATGGTGCTTTGAATCAATGGCACCGCAGCCATGCCCCCCCGCCCAAATTAGTGCCTGCGTTCCGGTCCTGTGCAATCTGCAAAAAAGTAGTGCAGCATTTTTGCAGATCGCACTGTACCCATTCGCAGACATTATTATTCCATGCGCTTGGGTGCCGGCGATTGCATGGGGGTCGTGGCTGCGGTGCTATTAACTTCAATGCACCTCCCCTCCCGTTCCAAAACAAATTGAGCCGGCCGGGTTGCGTTCCAGAGGCCCAACGCACTGGAACGCACTCTTTATGGCGTGACTGGGCCCTGACAATATTTTAAAAAAAGAATGATTTTTTTGTAGCATGCATTTTTCTATTTTAAAAGAGGGGTACTTCACTAACCTGAACTCCATGCACCCTCTGCTCCTGATCCAGGGGTTAGCTCCCTGTGTCCCAGATCTTCTCCACCCTCCGACAGTATCAGCCTCCTCCAACTCCGATGCCACCGCTTTCTGCTGGAGGAGCGGAAGCCTCTGCATGTCCATACCACGCTGGGTTGGCTCTCTCATCTCTCTCTGCAGGGAAGGAAGTAAGTGGCAGAAGTAGTTCCACCAGTACTAGAGGAAGAAGCCGAAGGAAATTGTTGCTGCTCCCTCTGCTCAGGGGTGAGGTGAATCTGTAAAGGCGAGTTTGGCGGCCGCAAGTGCCTCGCCTTAGGCCTAATTAGAGAGCCCAGAACGTGCTGTAGCTGCGATTGCATGGTAACGCATTGTACTAGTGTGAACGGGCCCTCAAAAACACTGACAGACAGACACTCTCACCGCTCGCTCCGCCCAGTTTTAATGACAGATCAGCGTCCCCAAGTGGACGCTGATCTGTCATTAAACAACAACAACTGAGCGGAACCGGCCTTGACATCACGGCCGGCTTCACCCAGTTGTTATTTAATGCCTGATACCTGCTAGAAGACTCTGGCAGGTGCCGGCCAATAGGAAACAGTTGGGTGGATGTCACCACTAGCTCCGCCCAATTGTTTATATTTTGCCGGCATCTGTCAGATTTGACATTATGTGGCAGGAGTTTTTTTTTTCTTTTCTTTAAAATATGTTTATTATTTTCTCAACTAAGCGAGTAAGCTGCCCGAGCTTCGAACTCCTTCTGCACTTCGGCTCAGCTGAACATATGCAGAGCATGTTCACCTGACCGAAGGCAGCTGATGTACGGCTGATTATAGCCGATGTACTGTATGGCTGAAATCAGCCGTACAAGCCAGAAGTGAATAGCCGAACAGCGTTCGGCTCACTTCACTTCGGCTCAGTTATTCACTCGGCTGCTTTCGGCAGCTTAGTGAATAACCCCCTTAGTGATCACTTTCACAAAAGGCTCCAATGTGCATTGTGAGAGGCTCTGCAAAAAACTGATGTCTTTGGCAATAATCATGTCATTCACTGTGAACACCAGCTGTTGTTTCTCCATATGGGTAACAGGTATTTGATACTTTGTGACACGGGATTGGTCAATTAAATTCCTAGCAGAACCAGAGTTTTTGAGCAAAATCTGTGAAAATGGATGTATCTGTGACAGCAGATGTCCCCAGAGAGCTCTGTAGCTGTTCCGACTGGATCAAAAGGTCTTATAGTGCCTAAATGATGCGTTCTATCCAGCTTGCGCCATTGTGCACGTCAGCAACACAAACTGTTACAATTACCGGTGGATCTTCTGTATCTTCAATGCTGGATGTAGGCCCTCACCCTAGTGAAGATCTAAGGAGTGCCCGGCCTTCAGTATTGACCTGTGCAAGCAGAGTTGAATCTTGGTGCGTTAAAGTATATCTAAAGCTAAAACTTTTTTTTGTCTTTGAGAAGGGCAGAGTTACAATAGTATTAAACTCTCAAGCTATTTTCAACAATGGATCCAGCTCAAACAAATATGCATTGCCCAGCAAAGTATCTCTTTTTCTGCCCAAGCATAGTCATTCGGTTTCCAAACAGTTGGCTCAAACTCTCTCTATGCTCGACTTCCCTGAACTCGCTGTCCAGATCACTAGGAACAGAGCAGTCTCCAGGAGTAGTCCGTCTACTAGCTTGCAGAAGGGAGGAATTAGCAAGGAGGTAGAGGATTGTTTTGCCTTGCTGTGCTTATTTGTTTGTGAAGACACACAGCTTACTAGTGCACACAAGGGTGGCTCCACAGGACCCTGCAAGAAAAAGGAGCCACCCTAAAGCAGGATATCAGGGCCAGTGCTCCAGCTGATTCTATAGGAAGCTAAAACTTTTAAACATCAAGAAGCAGCATCCTTTGTAAATGATTGTATCAGCATTTGAAATAGCTTATAAACCCTTTGACTCTAATTTCACTTTAATTTCTTAGTTAAAAGTGCATGACTGTACACCATAAGGCAATGAGACCCCTGGAATAAGGGAGGCTGTATTGGTCAGACAGATTGTGCCATAAGTAGATCATGAGAAAAGATGCAATATGTCACCAGCACATCTTTATAAATCTTTGGAAATAACTTTATATAGTCAGTCAAGGAAAAGCAACACTATAATTTGCCTTTAAAATGCCTAAGGCAGTGAAGCAGAATTCTGGCTATCATTTTCAACTGCTAACATTGGTTTTGGATAAACTAAATTTCATGACTAGGCTTTCCAGTGTCAGAAAGGCTAATTTAGCTATGTTTTCTTAAAGCCATTGTGAATATTTACATCTTATAAGATACTTGCTTTATGAGACTTGTCCATTTAGGTAAACGTTTAAGGGTCTATTTATGAACTTTAAATAGAACCCTTTATGTTCACTTGCTGTCACTTGTCCTGTAAATATCTGTGGACACTTGTTCTGTGTGGATATTCATTCTTTATTTTAATTTTAAACATTTTTAAACAAACAGTTAAAAATAAGACAGCTTTTAAACATCAAGAATA